TTATGCTAGGCCTAGGTCTCCATGTGTCTGCGCATGACTGGAGACGTCCCAAGAAGCCAGGCAGCCTCCTGAACTCCTATAAATACGCTCCTCCAGCCCCAAGTCCAAACCATTCCATTCCCAAAGCTAGAGAGCACCTGAAAAGTGATTAGAGAGTAATTAAGAAAGTTTTCTTAATTAAGTGAGGTTAGTGGAAGATTAGAGTAGGTCAAGATCAAAGCTTAAGGAAAGCTAGGAGGATCTTGAAGTCTTCTTAAAGTGGTGAGTCTTGGTGTTATAGTTTTAGTCTTTTGGATCTTTGTTTGTGTATGCAGGTTGTATGAACACCAAAGCATAGGAGATGCTTTCTGTTCATATTGGTTATTGGTTCTGTAGTATAACTCTCTAAACAATAAGGTTTAGTAAAAATTGTGGAGAGTTATGCTGCAGAAATTTATATAATGTGTTATGAGGTTGTGATGGGTAATCTTCTAGGAGAGAAGTTATGCCGTCAAATCTCTTGTGTGTTTATATGCAGGTTTGCATTGTTGTGAGGTTGTGATGGGTAATCTTCTAGGGAGAGAAGTTATGCCGTCAAATCTCTTGTGTTGTGAGGTTGTGTCGGGTAACCTTCGGGGAAGGTTAGGCCGCCAGATCTCTTTTGTGTGTGAGGTTGTGTTGGGTAACCTTCGGGAAGGATATGCCAACAGATCTCTTTTCTGTGTAAGATTGTGATGGGTAACCTTCGGGGAAGGTTATGCCATCAGATCTTGTTAGTGTAGATGCATATCTATACATTAGGTGATGTGAGATTGTGGATGGCTATGCCGCCAAATCTCATAGATGCATCGGTTGTGGGGTTATAGCATGGCTATGCCGCTAAACCTCGAGTGCATACTAACATGGTGGTGCGTAAGGCCCATATGTTGAGTATGACTCCGATGTGGAAAGATCACGGACGGCTGAGCCGCCAGATCTTTCGAGGTTCGTGTGGGTACTCTTCCGAGGCAAGGGAAGCTCTGCCGCAGAACCGGTGGTATGAGGCATAGTGGTGCGTAAAGGCCCATATGCTAAGTACTGAGAACATGTGGCGTGTCTAACCACATGTTGTCTAGGAAGGTGTAGTCAAGCGCATTCTCGCACGTCAGAGCCCAACCGGATTGGCAGCGAGGAGGCTGTGCATGAAGGGAGGAAGACTCGGAGGATAACCTGGTCAGCTGCCTTGGCCGAGTATGGTACCATATGACGATATGGGATCCAACCAGACATTGGCATGGTGCGCCAGTAAGGCCAATAGATGGAAGGATGAACCGGGTACCGCGATGGACTGTAGTGCCCGGGTGAAGGCGTTCATCTAGTTTCTGTGTGATTCCGGATGAGCGTGAACCTTCACAGGCGTGGGCAGAGAATGTGGCTAATGCACCTAGGCGCCTTATTGCATATAGAAAACAAGTATTAGATACTTGTCTAGGTTTGCATGGGCATTGCATATAGATTGCTTGTTTGTATGTTGTTATAGTCTTGGATTGATCGTACCTGTTCTTGTTTGATTGGGGTACGGTTAGTCTTAAGGCTATAGCATCATTATTGTGTGTGATTGCATATGTTGTGTTGTGCTAACCTCAATGCAGGTGAAGGCGGGGCTCTTAAGCCCGCGGCGTTTGTGTTTGGAGTTTAGGGAATCCCCCTTGTATAGAGGTCCTAGACTCACTGAGTAATATTAGATTACTCATTCCTTTTGTTTAATGTTTTCAGGTGACCGTAGAGGTGTGAAGTAGAGCGGACCGCTGCAGGCAGTAGGCGCCAGAATAGTTTTGTGGTATGTTTTTGTAAAATTATGGTTTGTTGTTTGGTTTGGAACTAAGGATCGATCCGCATGTTTTTAAGTCGGATTTTGTAAGCACTCTGATATTTTAATAAAGGAAAGTTTTATGTAAAGACCTTATGTTCCAATGATATTAGCTTGGTCCGGGCTAACACAACTCCTGACCGAAGTACGGGTTGGCAAGCCTTAGGCTTTGGTCAAGAGGGTCGAGTTCGTGGAACGGGCTGACCTGGGCTCTGATTTGTTCTTAGTCTGGGATGGCCTATTCGGCGAACATCGACATTTTGTGGCGCTTCTCGGAACGTCTGTGCCTAGGACGGTTCGGGGGTGTTACAAATGGTGGTATCAGAGCATGGTTCATGATCATGCTCGGGAACAAGGATTTTAAAACGTTTTATCGAGTCAAAAAGGAGTCGCAAAAACTACCTTAGGTAATCTGGTCTGTCTGCAGCATATAGGTAGAATGTTTAGGTTGTGGTTAAGCATTGCTTGATGTTGCTTATAATTTCTGATTGATCATGCATGTTCTTGTTTGATTGTTGCATGGTCAGTATAGAGGTTATGGTAACATTGTGCAATGTGGTAAGCCCATTTTGAGGTGTCTATGGGTGTTGATCATCCATAGAATAGATGGATGCGGATCATCCATGGGATAGATTGTGTTGAATAGGAACCCTAATGTTTGCTTTGTGGTGATAGCTTGAAGTCATGAGTGACTGGTTTGTGGATGATGAGGGGTCGTGGTTTAGTACTGGGCAAGAGTGGACAGTGGAGTCTGGATCGTCGAGTTCAGAACCGTCGAGCAATTCGGAGCACTGGATCGTAGTGACGGACTTGGAACAGCAGACACTAACAGATCATGATAGCAGCAGTGATTGGGACGAGGACGTATATCTTATGCCGAGAGACAACGTGCAGCCCAGCACAACGGTGAATGAGTATGGCGAACACATGACTTGGCCAGTACATTACCCTGAGGAGGAGAGAGTAGTGCCATCTACTCAGATCATAGAGATCAGTTCAGGCGAGACTACACCAAACTCTTGGGATAGAGATAGTCCACCAAGTGTTCTACCGCATATACCAATGCCGCATGTATTTGCACCGGGAGGTGGAGTATACCCGTACATGCCAACGGAGGAGAATCCAACGGACTACGTATACCCGTTCATTACCACGGCTGTAGAAAGCAATGATCCAGCCGTTGCAGTCAAGTCAATAGTGAAGTCTTCAGAAACCAACCTGAAGAACCGGATACGCCGGAACCAACATGGGAGGATTATCTTGGACACCAGAACGTATCACCCACGTACTGGACAAGGAAACTCAACGAGATCGCTGGATACACATCATCAATGGAGCATGGAGAAGGAAGCATACCTCAAGATCAAGGAGAAGCTAATGCAATGTGGTGTACAATGTATGGAGAACAAGATGCACCGAACTCGGTGGCAGGCAATGCTCAACATCAAATACCGGATCTTAACCAAACCACGGAGGAAGGTACCGGAGAGAATGAATGGCTACAAGATGATGAAGGTCTTAACCTAGCAAGAAGGTGGGATGAGATAATCGCCACAGAATTGGAGAATCTCAGAACAGAGGGTAATGGCCAAGAGCAAACTGTGTCACGCCAAAGGGGAAGGCCTCCCAGAAGACTCGCGAGGATGAGAGTCCCAGCACCGTCTCAAGTCACGCTACCATGCGATCAATGTGGAAGGACGGGACATCATAGCAGGGCATGTCCCAATGTGCGAGCTAGATCAAGGATGAATGAAAGGCAGAACATTTGCCTTACTTGTGGAGAGAAAGGCCATTTCTCAGCAGACTGTCCAAGGAACTGCCCCAGTACTAGTCAACCCACCCGCTCAACCACAAGGAGAGAGAGGCGACCAGGGAGTGGAAGCCGTAGAATGTAAGATAGAGTCTAGGAACCCTAAACCACATGCCGAGAAAAGGTATTTTTCGGGTTCTAACTCAATCTTTGAATGGTTTATTTTCTTGCTTGCTTGGTATAGTAAGTAGGATTGTTTGGTGGTTTAAGTTGAGTTTGGTAGAGACATCGTTTAGGAAACCCATGTTTTGGGAAACGATGTGGTGAAAGGAGATTCCGATGTTTCTATTTCCAGTGGGAAATGAAACTAGAGCGGATATCCTTGGAACCAAGTGGTTCTGGTAAAGTAGTTTTGGGTATTAGCACATCGAGTGGAACCCTTAAAGGGAAGCGATGTGTTAATAGAAGGAAATTCCGTGAATGCTGTTTCCAAGAGGGAAATAAAGCTAGGACGGAAGATCCTTGAGTAAGAGGTTAGGTGGTTAGCGAAGTTAGGAGAACCTCGCTAGAGTGGTCAGACCGGGATCAAGACCAACAGGGAAGTGTTGGTTAAGGTACGGTTTTGACATTAGATAACCCATAGTTAAAGCCGGGATGGATGGTTATGGGAATGGAGATTTGAGCAAGGAGGATCAGAGGAGATCAGTGGAAGAGGAGTCTGCAAGGGGACAACGTGAAGACAAAGTAAGAGGAGTCTGCAAGGGAGCAACGTGAAGACAGAGTAAGAGGAGGCAAGGCATCTTCAAAGTGGAGAGAGACACCGGAACAATGGAACGTTCCTACTCTCTAGAATGGAATTCGGGGACGAATTCTATTAAGGGGGGGGAGAATGTGATACCCCGTATCAAGACCTAAAACATCCCAAAGGCCGGGATGGGAAGATCAACACTCTGGGATTGGAAGACAAAGACGTGGGATCTAATCCAGAGATCACAACGAAGACTTGGATCAAGACAGGATCAAGAACGATCGAGCAGAACTGAAGATACAACAAGATTGTCCAGGTGGGACGATCATTGTGCGAACATGGGAAGAGAACGAAATATCAAAGTTCTCCAAATCAAGAAGAGAAGAGTCACATAAGAGACCATTCTAAGAAGTTTGGTCGAAGCAGAATGCAAATCGGACGAGCAGATTGAGAGATGGGACGGACGCCCAAGATCTATCCCGCGCAACTGCAAGAAACGTAAATGTTCGGATGGAGGTATTCCGCACATTTCCAAGCAACTATGTGGAAGCTCAGAAACATGGAAATGAGAGAAGGATTAAAATAGGAGATTTTAATTCTCAAGCACGACGGGGACGAAACCCTCCAGACAGGGAAACGTACGAAACCCTCTGGACGAGGAAACGTACATTTGGAGCAATCTTGTTCTAAGCCAACCAAGTGGTGACACCAGCTACTTGGAGAAGATAAGGATGATCATAACCAATATGGAGAAGACATGCAGCTACTCAGATGGAGCCAAAACCATTCAGCCAATCATGTAGCAACATCCAGCTACCGAATGAAGACGAAGCAAGCCTAAGCCAATTGGGCAACGACACCAGCTGCTAAAGAGGAGAGAGGGCGTGGATAAGCTCCAAGAAGACCTAATGCTATCAGGGAGAGACACCCAGCTGCTCATGAGAGACAAGAATCGTCCAAACCAATCAGACGGAGACATTGAGGTGCTCAATGGAGACGAAATGACTTGGACGAATCAGGATGCAACACCAACCTACTGAGAGAGAGTATAAGCTTCAGGAGTGGATGAGAAGCAAGTGGAGAGATGCAGAAACGGATTGGATCAAGAGCTGACCAATCAGACAGAAGCACCCAGCATCTTAATGGATAAGATGAGTTATAACCAATCGGACGACACACCACATGCTTGGGGGAAGTCGGCTCATTGGATGAGCATTGAGAGGGGATAGGAATGACGTGTGTCATGTCCTGAGACGCCCTAGAGGCCACCAATCAAAGCTACCTAGCCTAGACCGCCTGGATGTCGCGTTCTGAGGCAGTGTAGGTCGCCACCAAGCAAAGCTATGCTAGACCTAGGTCTCCATGTGTCTGCGCATGACTGGAGACGTCCCAAGAAGCCAGGCAGCCTCCTGAACTCCTATAAATACGCTCCTCCAGCCCCAAGTCCAAACCATTCCATTCCCAAAGCTAGAGAGCACCTGAAAAGTGATTAGAGAGTAATTAAGAAAGTTTTCTTAATTAAGTGAGGTTAGTGGAAGATTAGAGTAGGTCAAGATCAAAGCTTAAGGAAAGCTAGGAGGATCTTGAAGTCTTCTTAAAGTGGTGAGTCTTGGTGTTATAGTTTTAGTATTTTGGATCTTTGTTGTGTATGCAGGTTGTATGAACACCAAAGCATGGGAGATGCTTTCTGTTCATATTGGTTATTGGTTCTGTAGTATAACTCTCTAAACAATAAGGTTTAGTAAAAATTGTGGAGAGTTATGCTGCAGAAATTTATATAATGTGTTATGAGGTTGTGATGGGTAATCTTCTAGGAGAGAAGTTATGCCGTCAAATCTCTTGTGTGTTTATATGCAGGTTTGCATTGTTGTGAGGTTGTGATGGGTAATCTTCTAGGGAGAGAAGTTATGCCATCAGATCTCTTGTGTTGTGAGGTTGTGTCGGGTAACCTTCGGGGAAGGTTAGGCCGCCAGATCTCTTTTGTGTGTGAGGTTGTGTTGGGTAACCTTCGGGGAAGGATATGCCAACAGATCTCTTTTCTGTGTAAGATTGTGATGGGTACCTTCGGGGAAGGTTATGCCGTCAGATCTTGTTAGTGTAGATGCATATCTATACATTAGGTGATGTGAGATTGTGGATGGCTATGCCGCCAAATCTCATAGATGCATCGGTTGTGGGGTTATAGCATGGCTATGCCGCTAAACCTCGAGTGCATACTAACATGGTGGTGCGTAAGGCCCATATGTTGAGTATGACTCCGATGTGGAAAGATCACGGACGGCTGAGCCGCCAGATCTTTCGAGGTTCGTGTGGGTACTCTTCCGAGGCAAGGGAAGCTCTGCCGCAGAACCGGTGGTATGAGGCATAGTGGTGCGTAAAGGCCCATATGCTAAGTACTGAGAACATGTGGCGTGTCTAACCACATGTTGTCTAGGAAGGTGTAGTCAAGCGCATTCTCGCACGTCAGAGCCCAACCGGATTGGCAGCGTGGAGGCTGTGCATGAAGGGAGGAAGACTCGGAGGATAACCTGGTCAGCTGCCTTGGCCGAGTATGGTACCATATGACGATATGGGATCCAACCAGACATTGGCATGGTGCGCCAGTAAGGCCAATAGATGGAAGGATGAACCGGGTACCGCGATGGACTGTAGTGCCCGGGTGAAGGCGTTCATCTAGTTTCTGTGTGATTCCGGATGAGCGTGAACCTTCACAGGCGTGGGCAGAGAATGTGGCTAATGCACCTAGGCGCCTTATTGCATATAGAAAACAAGTATTAGATACTTGTCTAGGTTTGCATGGGCATTGCATATAGATTGCTTGTTTGTATGTTGTTATAGTCTTGGATTGATCGTACCTGTTCTTGTTTGATTGGGGTACGGTTAGTCTTAAGGCTATAGCATCATTATTGTGTGTGATTGCATATGTTGTGTTGTGCTAACCTCATTGCAGGTGCAGGCGGGGTTACAAGCCCGCGGCGTTTGTGTTTGGAGTTTAGGGAATCCCCCTTGTATAGAGGTCCTAGACTCACTGAGTAATATTAGATTACTCATTCCTTTTGTTTAATGTTTTCAGGTGACCGTAGAGGTGTGAAGTAGAGCGGACCGCTGCAGGCAGTAGGCGCCAGAATAGTTTTGTGGTATGTTTTTGTAAAATTATGGTTTGTTGTTTGGTTTGGAACTAAGGATCGATCCGCATGTTTTTAAGTCGGATTTTGTAAGCACTCTGATATTTTAATAAAGGAAAGTTTTATGTAAAGACCTTATGTTCCAATGATATTAGCTTGGTCCGGGCTAACACAACTCCTGACCGAAGTACGGGTTGGCAAGCCTTAGGCTTTGGTCAAGAGGGTCGAGTTCGCGGGACGGGCTGACCTGGGCTCTGATTTGTTCTTAGTCTGGGATGGCCTATTCGGCGAACATCGACATTTTGTGGCGCTTCTCGGAACGTCTGTGCCTAGGACGGTTCGGGGGTGTTACAAATGGTGGTATCAGAGCATGGTTCATGATCATGCTCGGGAACAAGGATTTTAAAACGTTTTATCGAGTCAAAAAGGAGTCGCAAAAACTACCTTAGGTAATCTGGTCTGTCTGCAGCATATAGGTAGAATGTTTAGGTTGTGGTTAAGCATTGCTTGATGTTGCTTATAATTTCTGATTGATCATGCATGTTCTTGTTTGATTGTTGCATGGTCAGTATAGAGGTTATGGTAACATTGTGCAATGTGGTAAGCCACATTTGAGGTGTCTATGGGTGTTGATCATCCATAGAATAGATGGATGCGGATCATCCATGGGATAGATTGTGTTGAATAGGAACCCTAATGTTTGCTTTGTGGTGATAGCTTGAAGTCATGAGTGACTGGTTTGTGGATGATGAGGGGTCGTGGTTTAGTACTGGGCAAGAGTGGACAGTGGAGTCTGGATCGTCGAGTTCAGAACCGTCGAGCAATTCGGAGCACTGGATCGTAGTGACGGACTTGGAACAGCAGACACTAACAGATCATGATAGCAGCAGTGATTGGGACGAGGACGTATATCTTATGCCGAGAGACAACGTGCAGCCCAGCACAACGGTGAATGAGTATGGCGAACACATGACTTGGCCAGTACATTACCCTGAGGAGGAGAGAGTAGTGCCATCTACTCAGATCATAGAGATCAGTTCAGGCGAGACTACACCAAACTCTTGGGATAGAGATAGTCCACCAAGTGTTCTACCGCATATACCAATGCCGCATGTATTTGCACCGGGAGGTGGAGTATACCCGTACATGCCAACGGAGGAGAATCCAACGGACTACGTGTACCCGTTCATTACCACTGGCTGTAGAAAGCAATGATCCAGCCGTTGCAGTTCAAGTCAATAGTGAAGTCTTCACAAACCAACCTGAAGAACCGGATACGCCGGAACCAACATGGGAGGATTATCTTGGACACCAGAACGTATCACCCACGTACTGGACAAGGAAACTCAACGAGATCGCTGGATACACATCATCAATGGAGCATGGAGAAGGAAGCATACCTCAAGATCAAGGAGAAGCTAATGCAATGTGGTGTACAATGTATGGAGAACAAGATGCACCGAACTCGGTGGCAGGCAATGAATCAACATCAAATACCGGATCTTAACCAAACCACGGAGGAAGGTACCGGAGAGAATGAATGGCTACAAGATGATGAAGGTCTTAACCTAGCAAGAAGGTGGGATGAGATAATCGCCACAGAATTGGAGAATCTCAGAACAGAGGGTAATGGCCAAGAGCAAACTGTGTCACGCCAAAGGGGAAGGCCTCCCAGAAGACCGCGAGGATGAGAGTCCCAGCACCGTCTCAAGTCACGCTACCATGCGATCAATGTGGAAGGACGGGACATCATAGCAGGAGCATGTCCCAATGTGCGAGCTAGATCAAGGATGAATGAAAGGCAGAACATTTGCCTTACTTGTGGAGAGAAAGGACCATTTCTCAGCAGACTGTCCAAGGAACTGCCCCAGTACTAGTCAACCCACCCGCTCAACCACAAGGAGAGAGAGGCGACCAGGGAGTGGAAGCCGTAGAATGTAAGATAGAGTCTAGGAACCCTAAACCACATGCCGAGAAAAGGTATTTTTCGGGTTCTAACTCAATCTTTGAATGGTTTATTTTCTTGCTTGCTTGGTATAGTAAGTAGGATTGTTTGGTGGTTTAAGTTGAGTTTGGTAGAGACATCGTTTAGGAAACCCATGTTTTGGGAAACGATGTGGTGAAAGGAGATTCCGATGTTTCTATTTCCAGTGGGAAATGAAACTAGAGCGGATATCCTTGGAACCAAGTTGGTTCTGGTAAAGTAGTTTTGGGTATTAGCACATCGAGTGGAACCCTTAAAGGGAAGCGATGTGTTAATAGAAGGAAATTCCGTGAATGCTGTTTCCAAGAGGGAAATAAAGCTAGGACGGAAATCCTTGAGTAAGAGGTTAGGTGGTTAGCGAAGTTAGGAGAACCTCGCTAGAGTGGTCAGACCGGGATCAAGACCAACAGGGAAGTGTTGGTTAAGGTACGGTTTTGACATTAGATAACCCATAGTTAAAGCCGGGATGGATGGTTATGGGAATGGAGATTTGAGCAAGGAGATCAGAGGAGATCAGTGGAAGAGGAGTCTGCAAGGGGACAACGTGAAGACAAAGTAAGAGGAGTCTGCAAGGGAGCAACGTGAAGACAGAGTAAGAGGAGGCAAGGCATCTTCAAAGTGGAGAGAGACACCGGAACAATGGAACGTTCCTACTCTCTACAACTGGAATTCGGGGACGAATTCTATTAAGGGGGGGAGAATGTGATACCCCGTATCAAGACCTAAAACATCCCAAAGGCCGGGATGGGAAGATCAACACTCTGGGATTGGAAGACAAAGACGTGGGATCTAATCCAGAGATCACAACGAAGACTTGGATCAAGACAGGATCAAGAACGATCGAGCAGAACTGAAGATACAACAAGATTGTCCAGGTGGGACGATCATTGTACGAACATGGGAAGAGAAGAGTTCTCCAAATAGAAGACATAAGAGACCATTCTAAGAAGTTTGGTCGAAGCAGAATGCAAATCGGACGAGCAGATTGAGAGATGGGACGGACGCCCAAGATCTATCCCGCGCAACTGCAAGAAACGTAAATGTTCGGATGGAGGTATTCCGCACATTTCCAAGCAACTATGTGGAAGCTCAGAAACATGGAAATGAGAGAAGGATTAAAATAGGAGATTTTAATTCTCAAGCACGACGGGGACGAAACCCTCCAGACAGGGAAACGTACGAAACCCTCTGGACGAGGAAACGTACATTTGGAGCAATCTTGTTCTAAGCCAACCAAGTGGTGACACCAGCTACTTGGAGAAGATAAGGATGATCTAACCAATATGGAGAAGACACTCAGCTACTCAGATGGAGCCAAAACCATTCAGCCAATCATGTAGCAACATCCAGCTACCGAATGAAGACGAAGCAAGCCTAAGCCAATTGGGCAACGACACCAGCTGCTAAAGAGGAGAGAGGGCGTGGATAAGCTCCAAGAATACCTAATGCTATCAGGGAGAGACACCCAGCTGCTCATGAGAGACAAGAATCGTCCAAACCAATCAGGAGACATTGAGTGCTCAATGGAGACGAAATGACTTGGACGAATCAGGATGCAACACCAACCTACTGAGAGAGAGTATAAGCTTCAGGAGTGGATGAGAAGCAAGTGGAGAGATGCAGAAACGGATTGGATCAAGAGCTGACCAATCAGACAGAAGCACCAACAGCTTAATGGATAAGATGAGTTATAACCAATCGGACGATCACACCACATGCTTGGGGGAAGTCGGCTCATTGGATGAGCATTGAGAGGGGATAGGAATGACGTGTGTCATGTCCTGAGACGCCCTAGAGGCCACCAATCAAAGCTACCTAGCCTAGACCGCCTGGATGTCGCGTTCTGAGGCAGTGTAGGTCGCCACCAAGCAAAGCTATGCTAGACCTAGGTCTCCATGTGTCTGCGCATGACTGGAGACGTCCCAAGAAGCCAGGCAGCCTCCTGAACTCCTATAAATACGCTCCTCCACCCCAAGTCCAAACCATTCCATTCCCAAAGCTAGAGAGCACCTGAAAAGTGATTAGAGAGTAATTAAGAAAGTTTTCTTAATTAAGTGAGGTTAGTGGAAGATTAGAGTAGGTCAAGATCAAAGCTTAAGGAAAGCTAGGAGGGTCTTGAAGTCTTCTTAAAGTGGTGAGTCTTGGTGTTATAGTTTTAGTATTTTGGATCTTTGTGTGTGTATGCATGGTTGTATGAACACCAAAGCATGGGAGATGCTTTCTGTTCATATTGGTTATTGGTTCTGTAGTATAACTCTCTAAACAATAAGGTTTAGTAAAATTGTGGAGAGTTATGCTGCAGAAATTTGTATAATGTGTTATGAGGTTGTGATGGGTAATCTTCTAGGAGAGAAGTTATGCCGTCAAATCTCTTGTGTGTTTGTATGCAGGTTTGCATTGTTGTGAGGTTGTGATGGGTAATCTTCTAGGGAGAGAAGTTATGCCATCAGATCTCTTGTGTTGTGAGGTTGTGTCGGGTAACCTTCGGGGAAGGTTAGGCCGCCAGATCTCTTTTGTGTGTGAGGTTGTGTTGGGTAACCTTCGGGGAAGGATATGCCAACAGATCTCTTTTCTGTGTAAGATTGTGATGGGTGACCTTCGGGGAAGGTTATGCCGTCAGATCTTGTTTGTGTAGATGCATATCTATACATTAGGTGATGTGAGATTGTGGATGGCTATGCCGCCAAATCTCATAGATGCATCGGTTGTGGGGTTATAGCATGGCTATGCCGCTAAACCTCGAGTGCATACTAACATGGTGGTGCGTGAGGCCCATATGTTGAGTATGACTCCGATGTGGAAAGATCACGGACGGCTGAGCCGCCAGATCTTTCGAGGTTCTTGTGGGTACTCTTCCGAGGCAAGGGAAGCTCTGCCGCAGAACCGGTGGTATGAGGCATAGTGGTGCGTAAAGGCCCATATGCTAAGTACTGAGAACATGTGGCGTGTCTAACCACATGTTGTCTAGGAAGGTGTAGTCAAGCGCATTCTCGCACGTCAGAGCCCAACCGGATTGGCAGCGTGGAGGCTGTGCATGAAGGGAGGAAGACTCGGAGGATAACCTGGTCAGCTGCCTTGGCCGAGTATGGTACCATATGACGATATGGGATCCAACCAGACATTGGCATGGTGCGCCAGTAAGGCCAATAGATGGAAGGATGAACCGGGTACCGCGATGGACTGTAGTGCCCGGGTGAAGGCGTTCATCTAGTTTCTGTGTGATTCCGGATGAGCGTGAACCTTCACAGGCGTGGGCAGAGAATGTGGCTAATGCACCTAGGCGCCTTATTGCATATAGAAAACAAGTATTAGATACTTGTCTAGGTTTGCATGGGCATTGCATATAGATTGCTTGTTTGATGTTGTTATAGTCTTGGATTGATCGTACCTGTTCTTGTTTGATTGGGGTACGGTTAGTCTTAAGGCTATAGCATCATTATTATGTGTGATTGCATATGTTGTGTTGTGCTAACCTCATTGCAGGTGCAGGCGGGGTTACAAGCCCGCGGCGTTTGTGTTTGGAGTTTAGGGAGATCCTCCTTTTGTTTAATGTTTTCAGGTGACCGTAGAGGTGTGAAGTAGAGCGGACCGCTGCAGGCAGTAGGCGCCAGAATAGTTTTGTGGTATGTTTTTGTAAAATTATGGTTTGTTGTTTGGTTTGGAACTAAGGATCGATCCGCATGTTTTTAAATAAGTCGGATTTTGTAAGCATCTGATATTTTAATAAAGGAAAGTTTTATGTAAAGACCTTATGTTCCAATGATATTAGCTTGGTCCGGGCTAACACAACTCCTGACCGAAGTACGGGTTGGCAAGCCTTAGGCTTTGGTCAAGAGGGTCGAGTTCGTGGGACGGGCTGACCTGGGCTCTGATTTGTTCTTAGTCTGGGATGGCCTATTCGGCGAACATCGACATTTTGTGGCGCTTCTCGGAACGTCTGTGCCTAGGACGGTTCGGGGGTGTTACACCGTCGCTTTGTTAAAAAAGGAAAAATCTGAACGTTGTGTTAATAAATGAGATGAAATTGTACAACATCGTCTTGAATGTATGTAGATATATAAGGGAAATATAAAATAATAAGATGAAAAGAGATAAATAAAGTGGTAAATATTTAGGATGTAATAATTCTTATCGAGTTCATTTCGCATGTTTTCTATCCATCAAATTAGCATCAGCATTTGTGGCATCCAGACCGTTTGTTTAACAGCTTGAGCAAAACGAAAATTCGCACAACTTGGGGGAATAGGAGAAATCGAATCCCAATTTGATTCGATATCTAGTCTTCTGAAATGAAATTAATTTGACGAATCCATCGGATCAGCTCTTTCATTAATAAACAGTAATTTTTCATCAAATAATTTAATATGTAGGTCTGTACAATTTAAATGAAAAAAAAAAAAAAACTTGTAGTAAGTCTAGTAAGTCTCCTTGACCACTTAAAATAATATATTCTCAATTTGATATCATATCAATTTTTTTTTTGTAAGTCTAATATTCTCTTCTTTCCCTTCATTTATAAATTTGTCTATGAGACATATGTTAAAGTCAAGATTCCAAACTTTTACCTTTATCGATCATGTTCTTACTTTATGTTTTTCCGAAAAGACTTGGATCTAAATAATGTTGCACTAACTTGTGATGTTGCTAACCTTTGACTTAGTTAAATTTGTGAATATTAGATTTCTAAGATTGTATATTGTTTTAACATTTTTTTATTAAAGAGAACTAAACCGTCTCCATTGGCATTATTTTTTTTGTTAGTGTAAAGCTCATTTAAAAAACAAAATTGGCAATTTAGGTCAAGAAAACGATACTCTTCTTTGTAAATCCATTCTTTTTTTTCTCTTCATTTGTAAATTTGTTTATGAGACATGTTAAAGTCAAGTTCACAAACTTTCACATTTGATTAGATCAGTTTTTTTTTTCTCATACGAGACATATCAAAGTGAAGACTACAAATTTTCACCTTTATCAGTCCCGTTCTTTTTTTATGTTTTTCTGAAAAGACCCAGATCTAAAAGAGTGTTGCAATGACCAATGATGTTGCTGACCTTTGAGTTAGTTAAATTTGTGAATATTATATCTCTAAGATTGGATATTGTTTTGACATTTTTTGATTAAAGACAACTAAACTGTCTCCATTAGCATTATTTTTTTGTGTTAATGTAAAGCTCATTTTTAAAAAAGAAAAAGGGCAATTTAGGTCAAGAAAACGATACTCTTGTTCGCGATTCATTTTTTTTCTTTTCTCTTCATTTGTAAATTTGTTATGAGACATGTTAAACTCAATATTACAAACTTTTACTTTTGATTAGATCCATTTTTCTTCTCATATGAGACATATTAAAGTCAAGATTACAAATTTTCATCTTTATCACTCCCGTTCTTTCTTTATGTTTTTCCGAAAAGACCCGGATCTAAAAGAATGTTGCACTGACATGTGATGTTGTTAACCTTTGAATTAGTTAAATTTGTGAATATTAGATTTGTGGGACTGGATATTGTTTTGACATTTTTTTGATTAAAGATAACTAAACCGTCTCTATGGGCACTATTTTTTGTGTTACTATAAACCTCATTTCTCTCCTCTCCATCACCGTCTTCTCTCCTCCCCACCACCGTCTTCTCTTCTCTCCACCACCATCGATTCTTACACTCCTCTCCACCACCGACGATTCTTACACTCCTCTCCACCACCGTCGATTCTTAAGCCCTTCTCTCTTCTCGGTGAAGCTCGGAAATCAAGTGAGTTTTTCAAGCTCGGGTTTCAGTGGATTTGCGGATTTGTTGAAATGGGTTTTCTGGGGTTTTTTACGGGCTCATTGTGTTTTGTGTATTGTGCATGAGCTGAGGGAGAAATCAAAAGCGGATCTATCTCCAGCAGCCTTGGCCCTTGCGACTCTGATCTCCAGCCATTTCCTTTTCCCCAAGCAATCTTTCGATTGCTCCTTGCATGCGAAATCAGAGAACTCATACCCTGTTTATGTTTCTTCTACGCTTCCGGCGAGGCTCGAAATGGGACTCCACTGGTTTTGGGAAAGTTGAGGTAATTGCCTTTACCTCATTCTCAATCTATCTTTCGAAACAACCTTTAGTTTCTTGTCGATTCCGCTTCTAATTTTTGTCTTTTGAGACAGGAATTGCAGGTTCTGGTTTGAGCAACAGGCGGCTCTCAGTTTCTTCTCCGTCGGAGGTACCTTATGTTGCCAAGGACCTCGGCAATAGAGTCATGATTCGTCTGGGTTTCGCACCATGTAGCGCAACCTCTAATTTTTCTCATGGAGCGAAAGGTATATTATAAATTTGATTATGCATTGATTTATTTATTCTCCTAGTTAAGATGCTTTAGGTTGTTGGTGTGTGTTTTTCTTTCACTGTTTGTAATTTTTAGTTAGCTATTTATGTGCTCGTAATGTGATTGATGCTTTGAAAATAAAAAACCATTTTCTTTGTCTTTTCTGAAAATGGTTTTTCTGTGTTTGTTTGTGTGATAGATTCTTGTTATCGAAGAGTGGATCTATTGTTGGATGTTAAGACTCTTGGTGACAGAAAACTGTGAAAGCTTAAAATTGCCAACTGTTACTCTTGACAAAAGAAACCTATGACATTTTAGATGGTAGCTTTGTTAAATTTTCCAGTAATAGAAAGAATATTTTGCAAACATTTGACATTTTGTTTAGTCAGTAAAAGTACCTCCTCAAAAGAAACATTTGAGATCATGTGTTTGATCATCAGCTTGCTTGCATTCCTCAAAAAGTTGGTCTGCATAATCTTCACATAGATAACCATTTAGTCCTTGATCCCTCCAGATTTATCAGTCAATAATTTATGGCAACCTAAAACTCTTTGTTATAAGGGTGTTGATACGATGCAGCTATAGTGATTGCATATAAACCAACTCCCATCAAGTTCAAGAAACGTATGCATAATATCTCAATTAATCCATACTGAATCTTTCATATTTGATAGAAAACTGAAATGGTTCCTACTTTATCAAGCTTATAAAGGTTTCAAATATTCCTAGAACCAAAGAATTCTTGATTGCATAGAAACCTACTTTGTTGTTACTACTTTAGAGGTCATCTAATCTGGGGGGTTTGGGTATCTTTAACGTCGTCCAGAGAATTCTTGGAATGATATTCGCTGCTCTCATGTTTAAACATTATTTTTCAATATAAAGTAGAGAAGCCATTGTTTCTTTCCAGTAAGACTTTATTCTTCCATGCTCTGAAATTTTGTAAATCATAGCTAATGTCACAAATTGACTCCAGTATAACAATTTTGGAGATCAAAGGCGTGGAACTTGATATGGGACAGAGCTTCTCCAGCATACTCCCTAATGATTGAACATCAAAAAGGTTAGTTACTAAACTCGAGCTTACCATAAAAGCTAAAGTAGAAATATGAGTATTAACTTAGATCAGTTAGTCTGTAGAATGTTTTATTGGTATAGTATCGAGTTATCCACTGATTTGCATATGATTTGAATGTAATATATAAACATTAACAGGTTTCTAGAAATATTATGCTAAAAAAGGTTTTGTAGACACCTCTATTGTTTTTAGTTACATGGGTTAATGAAATAAAGTAAACGCAAAATACTGGTTCAGTTTAAAAGTTTCATGAAACTATTTTTACTCAGTGTATATTAGAACAAACTCTTAACTTCCGCTTCTCTTTTCTATTTGTACTTGGACAGTTATGATGTCTTCCACATGAAGAACATAACCTATAACATCTGACAAAAGCATAGTTCCAATTAAGTTGTGGAGAATTTTTTGATTTACATCATCACCAACTTAATGCCGTGCTGTAGTTCGTGATTTCAAACATAAATAGGCGAGTTTGATTTTTTATTTATTTACTGCTTACGCTATTTCAGTGTTTAACTGTTTCATTT